AGGGTTATAATCCCTAAGTGCGGCCGAAGGCCGCCTACGCAGAAAGGTGTTCTCTGCAAAAGGTGTTCAACCCCCTTTCTTTGGCAACACAGAAGAGAATTCTACGTAGTGAGGGTTATAATCCCTAAGTGCGGCCGAACATTTCTATCTGTCGCTTTTTTCTTAATTTCACAATATTGTTAGTTAATTTTTTTCCCCATCATTTTTTTTTTTCAAATCTCCTGATAACCAACTTGGGATAATTTCTTTTATTTAAAAATCCCACGTTTTTCGTTAGTTGGGTTATATTCCACTTGAAACTGCTCAGTTTGCCTCGGAAAATTACGTTTTTACCCCATTTTCAAACGGTTCCCTAGGGGTCTGTGGGAGGTCCCCAAGGGGGGGTGGGGCTTTTCGTAAAGTGGCGACTGTCCCCTTTCGAATGAGGGGGGTTTGGGGGGCCCCGCCCCTCCCCCTCCACCCCCCACCCCAAAAACGGTGGGCCAATAACTAAACATTTCCCGCTTTGTTTACAGATCGAGCAAACTAAATAGTGTGCTTATAAATATGTACATACATACATATGTAAATTTGTGCAAATTAAAATGAAACAAAAAAGCGAGTTTATAAAAGCTTGGTAAAAAAAAAAAATTTAATTAGCACAACGGAGTTCTTCGATAGCCAGCGAAGATCGAAAATCGAATGCAACTCATAATAGGGGCCAAAAGAAATTATCCCAAGGTTGTTATCAGGCGAAAGAAGGGGGGCTGAATACCTTTCGCAGAGAACACCTTTCTGCGCTTTAGGATTATAATAATTACCAATTAGAATTCTCCTTTTGGTGTGCACCAACTGGGGCTACCGCCCCTTGGGAAAGGATGAGGTAATTAGAATTCCCTTTCTGTCAGGTAAACATGGGACTGCCGCCCCAGTGATGTCTATTATTTAGTAAATTTAATAAATTAAATTAAATTAAAATTAAATAAATATTTGCCTTGAAAAGGTTTATATTTTTAATGCTTACTGGGTTATATCTTATCTTTTGTCTCTGATTCTTTTGCATATTTTGGAGTTTGACAGCTGAACTCCGCCATTTAATTTGCATATGCAAGCAAAGTCAGACGCGTGATTTTGAAGGTGTTTTTATTTAATGAATTGTGATTAATTGGTTAGTATTAAAGTCATAAAGAAAATTATAACTAATCGAGTAAAGTATAAAGTGAAGGGGAATATAAAAATACTAGTGAACACGCATGGCGTCAAAATGCCAACTTTTAATTAAATTATTTAAACAGGTGAAACATTATTCAAAAACCTGTAAAAATATTCGTAATGGTTAATATAAACCATTTCTCAGTGATGAGAGGTCTCGCATGGTGTCGGTTTTTATTTCATCAAATTTCAAATCTCCCTGTAACTTCAAAAAATAAAACCTGTGCACATCTATATAGAATACCAGTTCTCTAATTTGACTTCTCATTTTGGAAATTCGAAATAACGGTGCAGATGTGATGACCTTCACAAAAAAAAAAACAGATGGCAACTCTAATTAGAATATTATTAGCCTATAGTTTTCTTAAACCTCTTTTGTTTGACACTAATATTTCGATATTTCATTTATGTATCTTCCTTATAAGTAAAATAAATTCCACTTTTCAAACAGGTGGCAACCCCTTTAAAAATATTTTCAAACTAAAATTTTTCGCCTGGCATTGCTATACATATTTCAATTAACTGATGAATTAAGTTGAATTTAATTTTTTTAAGCACATGGCAACTCTCCTAAATACAGTTTAGAAATAAATTTTTTTCAACCCCATTTCGATTGATACCCATCTTTTGACAATCCAATAAACTTATTAAATAATTTGAGCTTGATTTTTTCAAAAAAAAAAAAACAAATGTTCCGCTGAAAGATTTCTTAACACTCGTTCTTTTGATAACCATATTTTAAAATTTCATGTAACTTATGTATAATTAAACGAAATACCACTTTCAAAACAAGAGGAAACCATCTTAAAAATTATTTTCGAACTAAAATTTCCTCAAATATTTTTCGTCTGACATTGTTATAAATATTTCATGTAACAAATGAATTAAGTGGAAATTTATTTTTTAAACACGTAGAAATCCTCCTACATATAGTTCTGAAATAAAGGATTTTAAACCCATTTCCATTGATAACACAGCCACACAAAAAAAAATTTGTGTTCTGACCCAAAGGTCTCACTATGTGTCCCATATGTTTTTGGGGTCGCTGAATCCGAATCCGAGGTCCATTTAACCCCATCAGTTCAGGGTTTTGATATAACCCCAGAAAACCAATATGGCGGACACATTTTTGTAAAATTCATCGGATTCGCTTGAAAATCGTTACTCAGGGGTTTTGGGAGTCACCGATTACGAATTTGATGTCAGTTTTCGAAAATTCAAAATGACGCCATATTGTCCATAATGTCCGCCATATTGGATCCGCCATTTTGAATTTTCGAAAACTGACATCAAATTCGTAATCGGTGACTCCCAAAACCCCTGAGTAACGATTTTCAAGCGAATCCGATGAATTTTTCCAAAAGGTGTCCGCCATATTGGTTTTCTGGGGTTATATCAAAACCCTGAACTGATGGGGTTAAATGGACCTCGGATTCGGATTCAGCGACCCCAAAAACATATGGTACACATAGTGAGACCTTTGGGTCAGAACACAAATTTTTTTTTGTGTGGCTTTGTAACCATCGGTTAGGAATTCATTTAACTTATTCAATAATTTTAGTTTAGCCCTTTAAACTGGGGCAACCGTCAAACACATAAAAAATGTTCTTAATTGTCAAACTAAGAATTTCTTGAAGCTCTTTCATTTGACATCCATCGTTAATATTTCATAAAAAAAAATAGTTCAATTAGACTTCTCAAATAGGTTTGCCTTCAATATCTCAATTCTATCGACTAAAGGGTGAACACACCAAAACAGTGACACCCTGGGAAACTTATAACTTACCCAAAAAGATTTCAATATTTTGAAATTCAAATACCATAAGTTGACCATGACCTCAGTTGGACGTAGAAGAAATTTCATTTGAATATGATTCCTAGTAGAGCTAAAAATGGCAACCGAGTTAGAAACGAGACACACCATTTTGCACGAGTTTATAAATGATCCGGCCTTAAGTACACGTAAAATTGTTAAAAACTTAGGATTGTACTATTCGGCAGTTTGCAGATTTTAATCGGTACAAATAAGGCCTGGCAGTTACGAGAAAACCAGGGAGCGGGGGTTAGCATGGTCAAAGTGATAAAAACAGTGCCCGGAAGGTCCTCAGTGCGTTTTCGCGAGATCCGAAGGTTTTGTCGCGTTATGTTGCAAAATCCGTACGGCGATCGCAGTTTTTCGTACAAAAGGTAAAGCGGAAAGCTTCATTGAGATGTTTACAGCTCAAACAGCGCCAGACTGAGGCGCAAAGTAGAATGTTACAACGAAATCCCGCAGTCGGAAGTTGTATGAACTCCAAATTAAAAAATACAACTGCATTGTTATGGACTACGAAACCTACTGCTTTAAAAATTCAAAATATATTTTGAGGTTAAGATTTGTATACTGCTGCAAGTCGTCAAGATGCCNGCACCAACGAAACAAGCATGCGTTTTTTCGTACCAGGAGAAAGCATCGAAAGCCTAAACCTTATGAATGCATAAGAGCCCTGCAGTAAAGTTTAGAGACAGTCTGACAAAGCACTAGTTCTGAGCTACATATCTCAGAACTATTTTTTTTTAATAAAATATGTAACAAAAATTTTTTCTTAAAAAACGAGAGCTAAAATTTTTTTTCTTTCCACAACAAATTTTAAAGTTAAAAGCTACAATTAATGGCATAGTCTCAATTCTATCGACTAGGTGTATGGTGTCAAGGTAGTACATAACATATTTTTTAAAAAATTAAAGCATGTTTTCCACAAAAATTTTAATTAAAAACGGCCAAGTTCAATAAAAATTGTTAAGTGGTAATTAAGATCGTAAATATGAAATATGTATGTACTTATCTTAAAAACAATTGCAAACAATATCTGAGCATTAGCAAGGGTATGCTAATTAAGTTTTTTTAGCAACTTTTCCAGTAGGTACTAGCAACGAGAGTTTAAACTCAAAATATAGACTAAAATTGAAAATTAGCAGAATTTTGTTGGTTTGAATCCAATTTTTATTGCAGTCTGATACCAGCACCTCTATGAGTCCGCTAGTGTGGCCAGGTAGTTTTAGGTTATACTAGCAAATGCCCGCTTGCTTCGCGGCGCCTAATAAGATCTTTTGCGGTAGCCAATTCAAAAATAGCGCTAAGCGCTTTATGTACATATTAGGAAATCCAATACCGCATAAAAATCGCATTTCCGCAAGCTTGCGGCGGGATCTAAGTCATCAAAAAAGGAGAACTGAAAAAAATAATATTATTTCCTCTACGTTGTCAGTTATATTCAAAATTGATGCGTAAAAGCCGATTTGATTTAGAAAATCTGCGTATTTACTTTTAATTAGGTTGACTTTTTTGATAATATTATCGAAGGAACGATAAAGTCTTTAAAGTTTTATCTTTCAAATTCGACCTTATTTTATTGCACAATCAGGAACTTTTGATTTTGGTGATTATGCATTGTTTCGTGGGTATATGGTCAAAATCGCTATATCTGTTGGGTATTTTTCAGAAGAAAATACACTTAGGTCTCTTTTTATGCGGTACATGCGTTCCTCGCAAAGCCGCATAAAAAAGTTCTTTACTTTCATACAAAAACAGGGGATGCGTTCCAGCATTTTCAAAAACCGCATAAATTCAGATACTCCATGTAAAAAATTCTAAAGAGCCGCATAAAAAAATCCAGTGAGGCATTATTGAGCAAAAAAAAAACTATTTATTTCTTCACTTCAACACTTAAGTCTTATTCCATGTAAAACCGAACATTAATGAAATAAATAAAATTGTATCTGTGTTTTAACAGAAAAATAAATAAAAATACCACAATAAATACATGAATTATGTAAGAATACATAAAAAAAAAAATGTTTCATAACAGCGGTCGCCCCTCGGCAGGCAATGCCAAACCTCCGAGTGTATTTCTGCCATGAAAAACAGCTTCTCGTAAAAATACAATCGCCGTTCGGAGTCGGCGTAAAACTGTAGGTCCCTCCGCTTTGTGTGACAACATCAAGACGCACGCCACAAATCGGAGGAGGAGCTCCACTTATGTGTAAGCGCCAATCTATTATTATTATTATTATTATGTAAAAATACAAATACAAATTATTTATCAGAAGCATTGTCTTTTACACACTGAAAAAAGTAATAAAAACTCTCAAAAAAGCAAAATCGCTACTGCGAAATAATGGTTTGAAAAACCGCATAAATTCAAATCCGCATAAAAAGAGACATAAGTGTATATCATAATAAGAGGTACCGTGGTGTTTTTTTGCCGATCTGAAACAATACCCGCTCGCTGTAATCCCAAAACTAGCTAAATCATCAGTGGTTCTGGATTATTCAAATTTAACTAAGTTGTCCTGTTCTTCCTCTTAACTGTTTTACCGTTTGATGTTTGAAAATGGTTTAAAGTAATATATTATATATGTATAACATACTCTTGAAAATTACACCTGAATGTGTGCCTCTAATAGAATCCGAGTTATGAGTATTCAAAATTTATCATCTGAAAGTAAGCTTTAAAAAAATCAAATGTTCTGCTGGCGCACTTAGTTATCGATGGGAACGGACTGTTCTACACTTTTATAATGTGTTCATAAATCGGTAAGTGAACAAAGTTTAAGCTAGTTTTCAAATTTTAATCAATTACGCAGGACCACAAAACAAAATCGATGAAAGGTTAGTAAAACCAGATCAGGTGGGTATGCGTTTTTGGGGTCCGTTTTGCTCCATCATGTCAGGATTTGCTTCTAACTTCGAAAAACCTTGCTAAACACAATGAACTTCTCCAAAAGGCCTTCTGAAGTACGTTCTATAAGAGCCCTTCTGGAAGGCCTTCCATCGGTAGCGAAAGAAGAAGCCCTTCAATTGATGACAGTCCATACAAAAGAGAAAGGAGAAAGGAATGGAGAGTGGAAGGGCTCTTGACTCTCAGGAAGACCTTTCGGAAGGGCTTTCAACTCCTGAAATTATCTACTGGGCTATAAAATAATAATAAATAAAAAATGTATAGTCCTGCAAATCCCGCCCATCCCGCATGTGTAATCCCTCATTTTTGATCCCGAAAAAATGGCGCGGGATCCCGCGCATAAACAAGCTATATATTTGAGTTTGACGCGGTTCTCCACAGGTAAATGCCGTAGGACCCTGTCGGGTTTTTGGCAGTTGAGTACAGTTCACAAGCCAATTTAACTTTCTTAGCTTTAGGCCAAATTTATTGCATGCAAATGTATGTAGTAAAAACGTAAGCTGCTCATACGCCATTTCGACAGTTATAGACGTATTAAATTTTATTTAATTCGCTGCCCAAATCCGCAAAAAATTTTAATTCCGTGATTCCTACAAATCGTCACCTCAAATGCAAAAAGACGTAACAAGCATCATCGCTGAAATGCAAAAAGTCATAACTAATAAAAAATTCAAAATCCACATTGATTTAGGTATATGATGGATTTTATCAAATTACAACTCCTCACACCACTTAATAAAAAAAAAACAAATATTGGTTACGACTTTTTCCATTTCAGTTGCGATGTTGTTACGTCTTTTTGCATTTCAGGCGATAGAATACTTATGTATGCTTTTCTATAATATTGCTTGAAAGAAGTGCCTCTTTGCTATGTTTAATTTTTAATATTACATACTATGTATTTATGTTATATGTACTTAGTTCTATTCGTTTTTCTACGTGTATGGACGAATTATCGCAAATAATTTACAGGAATGTTTGAAAAACCGATTCTTCCTCATGTCAATCTTAGCATTTCCCTAAATGACACATTTACATAAATTTCTTGATTACATGTACATACATGCATACAGTGGTGGTCGAAAATCGGTGAATGGTGTTTCGCTTTTAATATTTACAATGTTTTTCTAGCTAAAATATTTTTGATATTTTTTTTATAAAAATATGCGTCACGCTTTAACAAAAACTATATAAATCACACTTTCAAACTTTATACAGAACTTAGAAAAATTCCAAAAATTTTTACCTAAATTTCGAGCTTTTCAACCAGAATTTTTAGAAATTTGTTGGGTATGCAGTTAACAAGCTTATAAAATTCTAGTAAAATAAGTACAAGTTTTGAGCGGCTAAAAAATCGCCATGATTTTTAATAATTTTTTTTTTTGTTGACAGCATTTTGCACTTTTTTCCATATAAACATGATTTTTTTTATGGACGAATATGCGCAAGACTTTTTGCGAAAAAAAAAATTTGAAAAAAATTCGCTTTTTGTATGAAAAAACCGAAAAAGCCGTCATAAAAAAGTTATTAAAAATCAATGCGTTAATGTTAAAGTATGACCCATATTTTTATAAAAAAATATCAAAAAATTTTAGTTTGAAAAATATTGTAAATATTAAAATCTAAACACCATTCATCCATTTTTGACCGCCACTCTACTACATTTGCACGACTTCCCAAAGCCGTTTATTAACCTTGGCATTTTAGTTTTAAGTGTTGCTGACATTTTAACTTACAAACTTTGATATTATTTCAAATAAATGTCCTAATTTTTCTCTTTCTTTCTCATCTTCTTTGCAGAAATAACCGCACATCTACATCAAAATGTCAAATATTAAATAAATTTCATTCAAACTCAGCGAATGCGAATGCCCTATTAAAAATAAAAAAAAGACACCAGTAAAAAAACAATGTACTAAAACGGAATGCGAATGCGAATGTGAATGTAAATGTGTGATGTAATAGACTTAACCAAAAACAAACCCATAAAACGCAGCAATAGCAATAACAACACAGTCGTCTGCACAATGATTTGAAAAATTCCCTTAGATTTTTAAGTATCTAAGTATGCTAGTGAATAAAAAACGCGTTCGAAAGCGGTAAAATAGCGGCAAATAGCCGTTACAGTTGTATGTACATACATATATATGTACAAAGTATGTAGATATATATGTTCTCTTTTTATGATTTAAAAATGTTTCTCTTGCCTTATTGGTATAAACATAGGTACATATTTCGCCAAGAATGTGTGAAACATTTTTTTATCTGCTTTGATTTGCATTAAATTAATAGAATATGAATACCATGATCATTTAAATCGCTAGCAAATACATACCCTGTGGGGAAAATCTCTAGTTCTGAACTGGGGCGCTTCTAGTACATTTAGACCCAGTACTGGTTCGACAGACGAAAGAAAAAAGTATCATGATTTTTCAATCTTTTTGGTTCTTCCGTGTGTGCGGTTTTAAGTTATTTTGGAAATGTGTTTTGAATTTGAAATTAAATTTATTCGAATGATTGTAAGAAATGTACGTTTACATACCTTTAGCTATAGCTGAGTTTGCAGAGTTGCTCGCTGTTATTTCTTAGATTCCAGACGGTCCCAAGATGTTGAAATGTTAACACAAATTTTACTTTTATATTACCAAGCTATGAAAAAGCATCTGCGAAGCGCAGAATAGAAGCGTATTTGAACGAAAAAGCCGCCGAACACATATCTATGTAAAGTAAACAAGCCCCCCGCTGCATCCCTTATTCGATAGTTCCGAATTAGTTCTAAATTCGACAAATAAGATCTAGTTCGTTCTGCATCCCTTTTTCTATAGTTCCGAACCATTTCTAAATTCGTCACTTTAGATATCGATTTCTAGTGAAAAAACTGAAATAAATTAGTTTTTTAAAAGTACCACTTTTCTCCGATTTTGGACTGGTGGGGATTTAGTTCATATCGGACTAGTTCCTTTTTGGCGATAAAGACCTAGTACGGAACTAGAAATTTGATTCACTAGTCCGCGGTTTCCCTGCAGGGTAGCGACATACAAATACATAAATATCAATGTCTATGAATGAATTCATGTAGGCCACTATTGAGATTGTAACACTGCGCGTTGGGACCAATACGACAAATACATATGTACATTTAAGCGCATTATGAAATAAAAGATATGCGAAGCTGTAATGCGTGAAGCAGAAACGAAACTCGTCATAAAATTGAAAAGAACCGGATAGAGTCACTTGAAAAAGCCATCGGAATGATGTTCAATAGAGAGCTGCAATGACTACTGTTACACTGTTGCTTTAAGCATAAGCAGACACAAAAACGAAAGCAGCAACAGAAGAAGAAAAGAATTGGCCAATCAACATAACAGTGACGTCTAAGGCATGAATTACTTATGCATTCCATTGTAGTCCACGAGAAACAATATGACGGGAAAGAAGTATTCGCACTTAGTGCAGTACATAGAGAAGTTGTAAAAAATTTTTTGTTTTAGTCTTCTTTTTGTAAATCCTCATTTTATATACATACCAGAACCCATTTTTAAATAACTTTGCTTAATGAAATTGTTTGAAACAATCGTTCTTGAATTTTTTTAAAAACATTTTTGTTTCAAAATAACCTATCCAGCTCTCTAGAAAAACCAATAATTCACATGAAAAACGCTCAAGAAATGAAAAAGAAATTTTTTTCTATACAAATTTTTAAATCAGTTTGCAGCTCAAAGAAAAAATGTTCCTTTGTTTCTCGATTTATTTTATATATGGTATATTTTTCCAACAAAATTTACGGCAAAAGCAAACTACAGAAATAAAGAACCATGGTGGAATAATAACAAGGTGTTGTCAGTAGCGACGTGTTTGTTGTGATTTTGACAAGATCGGCATGCTTATTTTCAGGGCTGCCGATCTTAATTTTTATACTACTATTCGTTGGGAAATAGTATCTAAAATACTTCATTTTAGTAATTCGTTTTATCGCGATTTTTAAAGAACTTTGTGTTTTCAGAACAATATTAATATTTAAAATTGCTGGATTTGTATAATTTTTGCCCTCAAAAAGTAAAAAAATAAAAGATATCATGGTTATCAATGGAAAAAAAACGTACACAAAAATCGTATGGAAAGGCGATTTTTATATTAAATAACTTTTGCTGCATTGTCATAATATTGAGCCGAATGAACTGGATACACTGGATACACTAGAAAAGAGTGGCTGCATGGTTAAATTAGGAATTCGCTTACATAATCGATATTTATGTAATTTAATCTATTTAAAAAATCATTTACAGTCCTATAGGAAATTGCCTTATTTTATGGCTTTTACTTTTATAAAGTTACAATATATGTCTAAGCTGTGTGGAGCTGCCGATACAAACATATATTCAGGCTTATAAGCCTGTAATTATACATTTTTCTACATTTAATTTGAAATAGTACGCACCACCGGTTAAAAAGTAGTAAATAATTAGTACCTTTTTTACTAATTTAAAATGCGTGACCGGAATAGACCTGCCGAAAAAGTGAGGTTAAGTCACTGACAACCCCTTGTTATTATTACACCATAATAAAGAACAATATTTCTTGAGATCAAAAGTTTATGAAGTAACGACAGCTTTAAACAAGGTAAAATTCAATCAATTCAATATGTTTTACTTAATTGATGACCAGTTATAATTGCCTTCCCCCTCTTCTACAATGTACTTAGTCAGAGTATTGCAAAATTAAACCCCGGCACCACCTAGCGGGAAAGTAATACTTCTGGTGTCCATATTTCAAGCAAAAGAATAGTTCTTCAATTTGGTTGAAAATGTAGAATTATGAAAATGTTTATTTTATCCATCCATGTAAAAAATATAATTTCACTTTTTATGTATTTTTGTTAAACAATTTTTTTTTTAATTCGAATCGTCTGACAAATCACAGAGCCAAAAATTTCGACGAACATTCTCTCTCAAATGTACTATGTTATCTTATGTGTATGTACTACTTAACCTAATACTAGTCTCTATAGTACATATGCATGTATATATGGATGTACATATGTTTCTTAGGAATAGTGGAATGCTAAGACAAAGCACAAACACATGTGCATATACACATTAACCTATGTATGTACATAAATATATACATATACATATATGTATGTGCGTACACATGTATTCATTCACATTCATCCATAAACTGAATTTTACTCTGCTCATTTGCTTTTATTCTTTAGGTTCTTCTACATTTACTAGCCTTAGCGCAGAATTAAAAATAATAGTAAACAACAAATTGTAAGTATTTAAAAGCAAAGCGTAGAAGACGAACTAACTAAGTAACAACATTCGAGAAGTAATAAATATGGGTATTTAACCCTGCAGTGAAAGCTACTAGTGGAAAACCAGAATAAATACTGCAGCAGCTAAACTAGTTCGTTTTCGATAATATTTTTATCGACTAGCAACTGGTTTTCGCGAACGCATTAAATACTGCAATCAGTAGTATCGGGTTGCAAGCTGCACATTACTTCTATTTCTGTATTTTTCGATCTCAAAAATACGATTTTTAGCTTTAAAGCATCCATTTTAAGTAAATATATATTTCAAAAAAGAAAAAAAAACTATTCGTAAACAAACAGTGCAGTCAAAGCATCAATATATGTATGTAGCATGCATATATTTAATCATGGCAGTTGCATAAAGTCGTTTATGAAGAAATCTATCTTATGTTTGCTGACGATGATGCTACAAAATTAAAAATGGCCGGGTGGGTATGTTAGGCTTCCGCATTAGCTCATACCAATTAATGGACTAGTCGGTTTCTATTGATTGATATGCTAAAACGTTTATCGACTAAATTGGCATTACACTGCTTAGGTACATACATACATATGTACATATGTACATGTCTCGTGAAATACATATGTAGGTATGTATATATATGTAATTATGTACATACATACGATGTATTGAAAAGAGAGTTGAATGCCTACACTTACCATGTGTGCAGTTATCAATCAGAAAATCAACTACTTTAAAAGCAATTTAATAGAAACTGTTTTATTAACTAAGTACCTACATATGTACATAGTGCATATATAGAAGAGTAATCGAAATTCTTTCTTTTTTTTCTTGTAAGCAACTGGCATTATTAATAGGCCCCACTNAAACTGTTTTATTAACTAAGTACCTACATATGTACATAGTGCATATATAGAAGAGTAATCGAACTTCTTTCTTTTTTTTCTTGTAAGCAACTGGCATTATTAATAGGCCCCACTTTGAATATGATTTCAACTATGTTTGTATGTATGTGCAATACATTTGACTTCAAACTAATTGCCTGAATACGTATCCAAATAGATAGTTTGTTTCCAACTACTTATTCAGTTGGTTAATTTTTGAGACTGTCTACTTTGTTCCGACAGGGATACTTGTAAATTTTTTATATGCACATATGCATGTGCATACCTATGTATGAAGATATCCATAAGAACACAAAATCAAAGAGGCAATAACATCCGCCACATGTGTACACACACATACATATGTATATACATATGCACACTTGTGCATAAAAATTACTCATACACACATGCATACATACAGTATGTATGTATTTACATACCCAGCAAGAACAGTACCAGACAATTGATGGGATTTAAGACCAACAATTATGACTATTCGTTAGCACATCGATGTAGTCATTTTTATTAGGATCACAGGGAAAAGGTTAGCATCATCTGTTACTCTCATCAATTAATGTGATTTCCTCTCACTCTCACTCTCGTGATTTGATAAAAACTTTTGTGAAATTTTTTTCCCCCGATTGTTGTAGTTTTGCTGGCTACCTACTTTGTATCTAATATAAGAATAAAAACTTATTTGTGGACTCCATTCGACGTTACGGCACACAACTGCACAGGCAAACACCGATGGCCTACCAACTGTCATTTTGACGATATGATTGCATGTTTTTGTGTGTGGGCACTTTGATGTCTTGAAATAAGCATTTGTCGCATGACGCCGCCACCAGACAACATTCTCTCAATTTCGGTGTTTAAAAACATTTCAATCTTTAAAAACCTTGCTGAATAATTTCCTAAAACGTAATCATAAATAATCCAATTGGGAACAGATTTTTATTTTGATTTAATATAAAAAATTGCATCGATGTTACCACCACCACGCTTTCTTTCAAATGAAAATATGGCTGTCAAACTATCGAATTGCCTGCAATAGATGTCAAACAATAAGCGTTGACATACATATATTGCAGCCCATAAGAAATAGGCGGTCTCCATTGGAAATATATTTTGTGACATGGTTATCACGACATCAGTGTTTTCCTGTGGCGACAGGGCCATACGAATAGGCAAATCAATGAAACGCTTGCAATGCTTTCTTGCAAAGCTTTGCAAACGGTCAATAGCGTCCAAATGAGTTTACGTGCACATATGTATGCATATATACCCTGCAGTAAAATTTAGAGACAGTCTGACAAAGCGCTAGTTCCGAACTACATATATCGGAACTATCTGAGAACTAGTGCAAAACGGATGCAGAGCGGGACAGTTGAAACTAGCGGTGTAAATGTGCAAATGCTCATTACTCGTACAATTCGAAATTACCCTGCAAAAATCGCGACTACTCCATGCATGCATGTAAAGAGTACTCCCGAAGGACCAAGGAGTACTCCAAAATTAACCACAATTCATATAAAAAATATGGTCCAATTAACATTGCGATGTCCTAGGGCAGGACCATATACTCCATCTCTGCATTACATCAGAGTAGCACAAAACTACTCCCAACATACTCCAATGACATTCTCGTTATATTTTTTCGTTTGTACACGCTTTTGTTCTTCACTTCGCAGATGCTTTTTTTGAAATTAATAAAAACCAGAAACAAAAATTAAAAATTACATGTTGCCTCTGACGACATTCGAACCCGAACATGCTGGGAGCTAAGAACTAACATCTAGCATCTCTACACGTTCAGCTACAGCCAGACATGCAAATGTGCTTTCAAATGCTCAACTTCAATCACATTTCGTTAAAACACGAGCAGTGATCGTATAACAAACAATAAGCTGGTGCAGAGACACGAGTTGGTCCGCTACAGCATGACAGAGGAGCACTTTTGTAAGTACTCCAATATACCACAAATAGACTACATGGTCCAACGATTTTTGCAGGGTAGCTCAGCGAGAAGACTTCCGACTCAAGCATTGTTGGTTCCGAATGGAGGCAGTTGTGAGTTTTCAAATTTAATGAATTTAAATTGTTGCGTGCGGGTTACAATATTTTTATACCCGATCGCACTTGTGCGCAAGGATATTATAACTTTGTTCACATAACGGTTGTTTGTAACAGGCAAAACGAATCGAGATACATATAGGCAAATAAATGATCAGAATGAAAAGAGAAATCGATTAAGCAGTGACTGTCTGTCCGTCCGTCCGTCCGTCTGTGCACACGGTAACTCGAGTAAAAATTTAGATATCTTAACGAAAATTGGTATGTCCACTTCTTTCGGGCGTAGAACGGATGGTATTGAAAACGAGCAAAACCGGACTATAACCACGCCTACCTCCCATATAACGGTGATTTCCAGAAATACGAAAACAGCGATATAGAAATACGAAATACTCGGTAAATCAGTAAATATTAAAGCTAATTTATTCAAAATTGATGCTTGCAACAATTCTTTACCAAGAAATACATTTATGGTAAAACCAATACCAATTTGTACCAAACTCGGTATGGTTATTGTGCTTTCCACATAAAAGCAAAACGTTGAAAATTATTGAAATCGGACTAAAATTACTGCCGCTTTTCATATAAAAGTAAATTTCAGAAACTTCAATATTTTGAAATTTATGGACGCTAATTTACCCAAAATTGATACTAAAAACAATCCCTTGAAAAGAAGTAACATTGTTTGGAATTTTGGAAAATGGGCGTGATATCGCCCACAAATGACTATATAAGTTTATCTCATGCCTAATGAACGTTCTATCGAAGATGTTAAAAATAGGGGTAGGGGTAGTTTTCGGAAAGGTGGAAAACATATATTTAATACTTGCGCCGGGTATTTAATGTTCGGCTCCCCCCGAACTTAGACTTTCTTACTTGTTTTTTTATAAATTATGAAAAAATTTAATCTTAAAAAACGTTTTCTTATAACTATACAACTGTCCAAAACGGAACCGGTTCAAAGTTAGTTGCAAAGTAATGCACTGGACTTGAGCTCGAACTAGCACTGTCGGCATAAGGTCTAGCTCTACGATAGTTCTGAGTTTGTCAGATTTTCTGCAGGGTATACATAAATATGTATGTGTGTGTGCATGCACAAACGTCCCTGCAGGAAATGGGACTACTTAGTTTGTAGCTAACTATTAACTAACTAGCAGTCGACAAGTGGATTTTTATTAATAACTATTTCCTTTGGCCGCAATTAACTACTTTTGAATGGCGATGGTCCCAAAATAGTGAGAACTGATTTCCTCTGCATGAGATGTCAACTAACTTGTATCTAACTACTTTTGGACATAAGCTATCAATAAAAAAAAGGATTTTTAAATTTTTTATTTTTTTTACTTATTTTATTTAACATTACATATTTGCTCATTTATTTATATAGTGTTCTTTTNAAGTAAATTTCAGAAACTTCAATATTTTGAAATTTATGGACGCTAATTTACCCAAAATTGATACTAAAAACAATCCCTTGAAAAGAAGTAACATTGTTTGGAATTTTGGAAAATGGGCGTGATATCGCCCACAAATGACTATATAAGTTTATCTCATGCCTAATGAACGTTCTATCGAAGATGTTAAAAATAGGGGTAGGGGTAGTTTTCGGAAAGGTGGAAAACATATATTTAATACTTGCGCCGGGTATTTAATGTTCGGCTCCCCCCGAACTTAGACTTTCTTACTTGTTTTTTTATAAATTATGAAAAAATTTAATCTTAAAAAACGTTTTCTTATAACTATACAACTGTCCAAAACGGAACCGGTTCAAAGTTAGTTGCAAAGTAATGCACTGGACTTGAGCTCGAACTAGCACTGTCGGCATAAGGTCTAGCTCTACGATAGTTCTGAGTTTGTCAGATTTTCTGCAGGGTATACATAAATATGTATGTGTGTGTGCATGCACAAACGTCCCTGCAGGAAATGGGACTACTTAGTTTGTAGCTAACTATTAACTAACTAGCAGTCGACAAGTGGATTTTTATTAATAACTATTTCCTTTGGCCGCAATTAACTACTTTTGAATGGCGATGGTCCCAAAATAGTGAGAACTGATTTCCTCTGCATGAGATGTCAACTAACTTGTATCTAACTACTTTTGGACATAAACTATCAATAAAAAAAAATGATTTTTAAATTTTTTATTTTTTTTACTTATTTTATTTAACATTACATATTTGCTCATTTATTTATATAGTGTTCTTTTGTAGGTGGTCTCACATTTAAATTCGATCAGATATAACATCAAAATGATAATATAAAATTTCGACCTTTATTTTATTTGGCCTGAATACGAAAAAGAATCTGCGAAGTGCAGACAAAAAGTGTATTGAAAGTAATTTTTGTATGAGGATATTTAAATAGAAACTTGTAAAGAAAACAAACTCCCGATAACGTCTGCATGACTCCTACACGACTTTACCTTTTACTTAAAGTCAGTTTTGTCACAGCTAATTAAAATTAGTTATTTGTCGAAATCCCGCAAAAAAACTAACTAGAAGGCGGTTATATTAATCAATTGATAATTTTTTTCTGCAGGGATATGCCTTACTGTGCATCCGCACCGACGATTAATTTCAGACTAACCACCGGCGAGTTGTGAACAAGACTTCGCTACGTCGCTGCGACAGTGGCCAAGAATCCACGGTCTCGTCGGTCGCACCTGTTTGCCCAGTTTACGCGCTAGATGCGAGATGGGTTGCTTGTTTTGTTTATATTTTGCAATTTTACAATTTTTGCTCATTCCTTATCGTGGCTTTCGTATACTCGGTTAACGGTTAATGCCGCAATTTGTTATCGTGCCGGATAGTTTTGTATCGTTATATCTTCGACAAAGTGTTCCCGTCCTCCCATATTCGTTCAGACATTCAGGAATCTACACCAATAGTCGAGTTGTGATCTGTATTGCCCAGTTGGTTTTCAGCTGCAACTGGCTGCATTGCACTCTCAATTCCAAGTTAGCATAAATACATACATACATACATCCATGCATTCTCGTCTATGTACTAAAAGTTTATAGTGTTGTGCGTGTTGTTGCTGCTGTTGCTGTTGTCCCTGTTTTGTTATTGTGCCAATTGTTGTATAAGTTCTTAATGCCAACAACAGCATTGTTATAATCGCCGTTGTCGTTGCCGTCGTCATCATCGTCGCCGTCACCGTCACCGTCACCGTCACCGTCACCAATTTCCACACATCTAATACTAAGTATCTTTGTCTCCGAAAGCTTCATCACCGTCACGATACCCGTAAAAGAACATATCGTGATTAGCAGCAGTAGCTGGCCTAGCTGGGACGACGTATTATGGATAGCACGGCTAAAGCGGTAGCAGCAGTAGTGACGACGCCGTCAGCAACAAGTGGTGTTGGTGGAACAGCGACGTCCGCATCGGGCATTAAGCTTAGTCCGACAGACGCTGCTGCCAATAATAATAACAATAATAATACAACAACAGTGACAACTAACGGTATCAAAGAGAATAACAGTAATAATATAGCAACATCTTCCTCGTCAGCAACGCCTCTTTCAGCGGCGGCGATACCGATTGTTGTAACGGGGGGCAGCGGCAGTGCTGGCACATCTGCGCCCACCTCATCGCCAACAGCCAGTTCACCATTGTCAGCGGCGGCATCTGCAGCGGCGACACCAAATAGCGGCGAGGTGAGTTTTTAGATATTCAATAGGAGTGCGAGTCAACGAGTTGAATTGAACGCATTCAAACAGTGACATAGTACAAATGTATCAATACTAACGATTTATATCTACGTATATGTATATATGTATATGTGTATATGTATGTATGTATGTATATGTACATACAATACATACACCTTTAAGCACAATCGAGACCAACGAAAAGCGAATGGACGGTGAGAAACCGTAAAATATAGATTTTGCCTGACATTACGCTTAAATGAAAAGAACATTCATAACTACTTTTTTTGTTTTTACATACATACATATGGCACGATTCACGTCAACCTGCCCAGAGGTCGCCCAAAATTCCAATCAATGAAAATTAATATGCAACGCTTTCAATTAAAACGGGGCGAATTAAAAATTTCAAAATGGCGTCTTTAGATACGCAGCTCTTAAAGACGCTCTTTTCGCGAAGAAACGAATATACTTATTAATTTCTGCAAATGATGACAGAAAGATAGATCAAGACTTATACTATAGTTTTCGAAGTCGCTGATTACGAATCTGAAGTATATTTTTTTTAACTCAAAATGGTTAAGATTTTTTAAAAATGGAGCGGATTCACTTAAGAGTTCGTTACTCGGGGAGATCTCGGCGTCGCGGAATACTAGAGTTGGATTTTTTAGTTCACTTTAAAGATTAGTTCACTTCTATGCTCAATGAACTAGCTCTTCTGTGACTGAGTTCGTTCACCTTATTGAACTATAGCGCTTCATTTTGGTATTGCAAGATAAATACTTTTGTTAAACAACAAATCCCAAAAAGCCAACTCAAATACTTACTTTTTAATAGCAAATGGAATAAACGATGTAAAATATTGAACAACAACCAAAAACGAGAACCCATTTGTGTTGTAAAATTCATTTCCATTTTTATGGGAGTGTTACCACAGGAAACTTTAGTTCGCGAACTAATGAACTAGTTCAATAAAAAGAGCTGGCTCTTTCGCTTCAAAAGCTTCCCAAGCCTACTGATTACGAATCTGAAGTCAAATTAGAGAAATTCAAAATTGCGGACCCAATATGGCAAACAAAAAAATCAAAATCGATTGGATTCGCTTAAAACTTTACAATTTACAAGTTGAAATCAGATTTTAAAAATTCAAGATGGTAGATCCATATTGGACCTACCATTAAGCTCGGAACACTTTGATGACAGCAAGCGACAAGCAGCATCTGTCAAATTTTAAATACACACGTTCTTACGGACACAATTATTTTGACGACAGCACGACATCTTGGCTGCAGGACTGCAATTGTCGACGTCGCCAAATTAAATCTATTTCTAATTTTGCCGGCGACAATGAGTAGATGTAGTGCTGCAAAATTAAATTGTCGCAAAATTAATCACATATTCTTGATTGTTCATGTTTTTCTTATTTACTTAAATAAAAATACACAATTTGTGAAATAAATATACCAAAATGTCAAACTTTAAAATCAGCTGTTTGCTATGTCGCTGAGGTCTTCAAAATGTTTAAGAAGCTGGCTTCAAGGCGACATTTGTCGACAAAATGATGTCGCTGTCGTTACGTCGTGAAGTTGCAGTCGTCAAAGTGTTCCGAGCTTAAGTCACTTAAATTCGATCGTACATACATGGCGTATGAGTAACATTTTCATCTCGTCTGGTTAACTCATACGCCATGAACTGAATTTTGTTTGAAAATGAATTAGGGTCTGTCTACATACATATATGGGTATTCGCTCTTTTGTTTATTCATTTTGGGGAATTCACAACGGTGTCGTAAGTGTCGTATTGTTGTATGTCGTAAACTTTAAACGCCTAAAAAATATATTATGGTGGTTCGCAAAGTATCAGCAAAGTCATATTATGAGTTTTCGAAGTGTTAAAAAATAGTTGTTTGTGGTTTCAGGTTCTCTAAACANCCAGCAAAGTCATATTATGAATTTTCGAAGTGTTAAAAAATAGTTGTTTGTGGTTTCAGGTTCTCTAAACATTTATTTAAGCTATTAAAGTTTACGACATACAACAATAAGTACGACACTTACGACACCGTTCTGAATCCCTCAATTGTATTTTTACCTTCCTCTTATTAGCTCGGGATGTAACTATGTATGTAATATTGATGCGCCTAAAAGATGCAGCGATTTCTATTCTCAAGTTACATACCTGATGACAGTACGAATGGCAATTATAATAGGGAGGTTTTAGGTTTTTAAATTATAATTTTATTTTAATTCTAACCGGATAAGCGTGCGATTATTGTTGCAAGTGTATTTAATGTGCCACCAGCAACAACAATCCACACGATCATTTAGTTACACTAACACAAGATACAACGAACACACAAAAGAGCGAATAAGCCTTATATGTATGNTGATTTCTATTCTCAAATTACATACCTGATGACGGTACGAATGGCAATTATAATAGGGAGGTTTTAGGTTTTTAAATTATAATTTTATTTTAATTCTAACCGGATAAGCGTGCGATTGTTGTTGCAAGTGTATTTAATGTGCCACCAGCAACAACAATCCACAAGCTCATTTAGTTACACTTACACAAGATACAACGAACACACAAAAGAGCGAATAAGCCTTATATGTATGTATGTAAGCCCGATAATTAGGTGTCGAAGATTTGACAGATCTAAAATTTACATTTAATTTTGACATTCGAAGATACATACTCCGACGTTCGCTTCGATTGTGCTCATTTAACAAAACTCGTTTTTTATTTAATTGCTGTTATTCTTGTCAAATGTGGCTGCCCGTATCTGTATATATGCATGAGTTTAAAAATTTACCTAGTCTTATAACCCCAGTTTTCAAATTATTAAACCTCGATTTTGTGTAGGAAACAAGGATAACAAGATAAGGGCAGGGCGCAGGCTATACAACTCAAATTTGTTAATATTAACGAAAAAAATTCAATTTGAAATTCATACTAAAACCCTGTGCGACAATTTATGGAAATTCAAACCAGGCCTATACACCTCTCAAAAATCAAATTTCGAAGTTCGTCAAAAGTTTGTTATGTTTTAGAAAAATTTTACTAGGGGTCTTCTCAGGCAAAAATTTCATGTTCGTGACGTAAAGATTTTGGCTGAGAAGACCACTTGCAAAATTTTGCGAAGAATAATTCTATAGAACATTTTAACTATCTCACAACCTTCCAAATTTGCTTTTTGAGGAATTTCTAGAAGTAAGGGTCAAAACCACCCTTTCAGGCAAAAGCTGATGCGTTCGAATGTTCTACGAAAATATTTCACGTCAAATTTTTCTACATACATCTTCACCTTTAATTTCGCATAGACATTTATTTACCCATTTTTTTTTACTTTTTTGAAAACTACTTAGACCGGGACATGAAAACTTTAGTAGGCCATAAAATAAGAATAGTGGTAACTTTTGTAAACCATCTAGTTTTTCTACCGGATATATACCTAATACTTTGAGAAAATTATGGTTTTGGCTGTCGCATGGTGTAATCACTCGTTTATTGAAAAAAAATCTTGAGTTACTTAGGATATACATTTTCCAACACAAAGAAGTCTGTAGCACGTTTCTGTAACTCTTATCTCCCGATTATTTCCCTACTGGTAGAGAATATACGTCATTCTCTACTACTCATTAGCAGTAGAGAACAAGGCGGTGAATTCATTCGCCTTGGTTGAGAATTGTTACAGAAACGAGCTACTGCTTTGAAAATGCAAATATATATTTTGTTATTAAAAACTTAAACATATTTTTCCGATTTTAATGGTTTCAAACCCTGGTCAAAGCAACATCGCAAAAAATGTAGAAAAAAGTTTTTCTCTTAACAGCGGTCGCGCCTCGGCAGGCAATGGCAAACCTCCGAGTGTATTGCTGCCATGAAAAACAGCTTCTCACAAAAAATACCAACGCCGTTCGAAGTCGGCGTAAAACTGTAGGTCGCTCCGCGGAGGAGGAGCTCGGCCAAACACTAACGTATGTGTAAGCGCCAATCTATTATTATTATTATTATATTGCACATTAAGTAATTCAGGGAAATGATTCAAAATGTATGTTTTTAGAGATTTCATAATACAATTATTAAGCTTGATAAGAAGAATATGTTCAGTCTGACAGATAACTAAACTTACCAAAACCGGCGAAAATATGTGTATTTGCAAGTACCAAAGATAATACCCCTATCGATACAGGTTATATTAAAAAAAATTTGTCCAAATCCGTTTAGTAATTTTCGATATTAGCATGGTCAAAAAATCGAGACTTTGCTTTATACTATGTAAGGATATGGATAAGGAAGGAAGGATAAGGATGAAGCTTTATGCAAACCACTATGAATATAGAAAAAGGATACATAATCAACATATATTTTAAGGGTTTAATTGCTGAAGACTTAAAAAAAATTTCCAAGTTTTCCATGTATTGGAAAAACAAGTTTTTACAGAAATGGTATAGAATTCTTGAAAATCAATATTTTTCGATCGAAAAACTCTGGCTCTCTTCAGGAGACTTTTAGTAATAATACCCAATTGTTTAATTAACCATTTTTTAATACTAACGATTTTTTATTATTCTCCCCATTGCATTTTTCGGTTTTTTTTTTGGTTTTTGGCGAACCTATAAATTATAGTTGCGATGAAAAAATGGTTAAATAAACAATTGGGTATTATTATTGGGATTTGCATGAAATCTATACCATTTCTACGAAAAGTGGTTTTTTCCACATATAAAATACATGGAAAACTTTGGGCGCTTTGAGCGACCTCTAAAGATTTTTTGATTTCAAAATAAAAAAAAAAATGAGGTATATTGTTTTCGGTGTAGAACAATACTAGGGGAGAGAGCATTCCAACTTTACTTTTTCCACATGCATTTTTGGACCACTCTAATATACATAAATACATAACAATAATAATATTTTGGCGGTTAAATTTTTGTTTAGTGTTTGGTCGATAGATATTGGCCATCTATTGTGCCGAGCTTCTCCAATTTATGGTTTGCGTCTTGATGTTGTTACACAAATTGAGGAACCTACATTTTAATAACCCGCCTCCGAACAACAATTGGATTTTATAAGAATTTCATGGCAGCAATACACTCGGAGGTTTTCCATTGCCTTCGGAGAGGCGGCCGCTGTTAGAAAAACTCCTTCAATGTTGCTTTATGTTGACATCACCGCCATCCAAGAAATGCGTTGGACGGGACAAGGCAAAAAATGTCTGGGCTTGCGACGTCTAATACAGCTGTCATGCAAAGGAGCCCAAATTCGGTTTTGGATCTAGCGCCAATCCGCATCAAAGCGAGATTCTTCACCATCTCGGTTATCTGCGTCTATGCCCCGGCGGAAAAGAACGGCGAGACGTCCAAGGATCTTTTCTATGAGCGCTTGCAGCGTACATACGAGCGTTGCCCCCGTCACGATATCAAAATCGTGCTTGGTGATTTTAATGCCAAGGAACAAGGTTGTAAGCAAAACTGGGTTAATGCATTAAAGAAATCCATCAAACCACTTTTCTCGTCTCCATATCGAAAAACGAGAAACCAAATCATCCATGTTGTGATACACGGAAGGCATGCTTCCATTCTTTTAAACGTAAGTACACTCCGAGGGCCAAGGATCGACTCGGATCACTTTTTTGTTGCAGCGAATATGCAAACCCGCCTCTGAGCAGAAAAAAGATTTCAAAATTTCCCGCACATTACACATCGCCGCCAAAGATGAGGAGTGTCAGGAAGCTGCAGAGAAAAGTGATGCCGTCTACAGGGCCACGCTGCGATCGGGCGCAACGCG